AATGCCGAGCTGATCATAGAGTATCGTGTTGTGATGTAGTGATATGATTATATTCTGTGTTCACATTACCTTCGGCCCAATGATTCCTACTCCGGGCTCTCCAACAGGTCCAGCTGGTCCCACAGGCCCAGGATCTCCCTGTTATTTGGACAAGTAAACAACTCTGCTCACTTTTATTTAGGCTGACCAAGCAATGAGAGTGATAATATTAGTGGTGTAATTTTACAAACCACCCCTCCACCCAACATTTTAAAAAAAAAGAACCACCCCTCTACCCAACATTTTAAAAAAAGTGTATTATGTTATATACATTACCAGAACACTCCAAACATACAGTAGTTGAGGTAAACTGATTAGTCATGGTTCTAAATCAGAGCTCAGCCTACATTAACCTGCAAGCAACCAGAACAAGAGCAGCAATGCCTTACATGATGTTAATGCTTAAAGTGACTCACTTTTATGAAGTGACTTCAATAACTGGATCTTAAAACAACGATTAGCCAAGAAAGATCAATGGAAAACACTTTCAGTTTTGCAGTGATGATGGTATGAGGGTAACTAGAATAAGTAATTTCTGAACAAATTACACTGGGAAAGCTGATATGCTGCCAAAAAGATGCTGATCACGGAGAAGTTGATGAATGTTGAAATGTCAGCGCACTGAAAAGTGGAGCAAAATAAAAGTTGACTGAAAGAAAATGACCAAATCAGAAAAAGTGTCCAAGAAAGAAGGAATAAGGAATGAGGGAAGGAAGGAAAATAGCAATGAAAAGAAAGTTGAAAGGAAGGAAACTAAACAGGAAGGAATGGTTGAAAGAAAGAAAGAAAGAAGAAAAGAGTATAAAAGTAAATAGTGAAAGAAAGGTAAGAAGGAGTGGAGGGCAGAGGACAGATGAAAGAAACAAAGCCTAAAGGAAGAAGGGAAAGAATAAAGGAGAGGATGAAAGCAAGGAAGAAAATAAGGATGAGAGGAAAGGAATGAAAAAGAATAAAAACATTCTACTAGGAATTTCAACTACATTTCAAGACACTGAGAGTGTGAACATTTGTTGGAAATTTCACCAGCATATAATTTATATACACATGGCTGCTGAAATACAAAGTTCAGACATACGCTAGTGACCAACCACTGGGTAAAAAAAAAAGTGTGTGGGGGGGGGTTGATTTGATTGCACTAAGCCTACAAGTAAAGATCTTTTGAAAAGTAAACACAACTGCCTCTGCATGTAGGCTGGGTTCTGATTAGCTTTGTTGGGCACCTGGGTTTACTCAGTCCTTATTTATAGTAGGCAAATAATGGCAACCTTTCCTGTCAGGAAACTCATTACTCAGGGTGTGTGTACATTTGTGACTGATCTACTTGTTGTCATCACCTTTGGTCCTGGTAAGCCATGTCCAGCAGGTCCAGGTAGGCCCAATATTCCTGGGCTGCCAGGCTCTCCCTTAGCAGTAAAGAGTCAGTATAATGTCAGATATGACGCTGACAGCAGACAAACATTTCTGTCAAGAACAAACTTTACTTTTGTCTTTTTTCAAACATACTACAAAAGTTTTGTCTCAGCAGCTTCAATAAAAAGGAGTGTAATTGTACATTCTTTGTACCAATCCTCTCTGTGGTAGACAAAATCAGAATAAAAACTTTGTTGTGCAATGCCCTCTCTCCACCTCCTACACCCTCTGTTTTTATTAAGCTCCTTTTGGTCTCAGCTGTCAGAAGATAAGTGTTGACTGAGAGCAGCTGGCAGGCTGCAGTGCTGCAACACAAGACAAGCAAACCTGTGCTGTAACTCCATCAAAAGCAGACAGTGTGTTGTTAGTGGTACTCAAGAATCAGGAGTGCAGCAGCATCTAACCAGCTCCAAGTGACAGTTGCAGAATTGTTTACATGCTGTTCAATGTGTTGTGCAGCTGAGGTACACTTCCTGTAGACATGTGAACCTGACAGCATTTTGGAGTAACCTGTGTTTAACAGACCTTTGCTCCAGCAGGTCCAGCTGGGCCTGGAGACCCTGAAAATCCCCTTGGCCCATGTTCACCTCTTTCTCCCTGTGGAAGAACACATTCACATGATGTCAGACATCTCAGCACCTCTGGTACTGTAATAGGAAGGTAGAGCAAAAATCTCACTGACACCTCTGCTCTGAAAGGTAAATACAGCAGAGTACAATGATTCATTTGATCTACTTTACCTTTGTAAAGCAATTGTAGGTAGGTAATATGTAACTAAACTATGTTGACTACAAAGCAGCATTTGTTCACACTGAACATACAGGATTCAGGACATCCTCTAGGGAACCACCAATATAAACATGAACAGCAGTTTCACTGCAGGTAAGCAAACATTACCTTTTCTCCAGGGATGCCTTTTCCCAGTGTCCCCTCTTGACCTTGCAAACCTGGCAACCCCATCTCTCCCTAGTGCACATATCACAGAACAAGGCTCAGCAAAGAGCTGGAGAACATTTGGACTACTGGCAGAGCAGTAAGGAGCATCTACAGCAGAGTTGGGGTAGCTACTCTTTAAAGACAGGTCATTTTATGTTCACTCCTACTAGTTAATGGTGACATCTATACCAGATCTTATTTAATTTTCTAAACAGCACTCAGTCCAAACAGGAACACTGTAATTTTACAAAATGTGACCTTTGACCTCCAGTCACTGACTAACCTTACAC